AAAAACTCCTCCTCAAAGCACATAATGACAGTTTTCCCTAGGCTCACACTGGCATTATCACTGTGCTGCAACCCTCAGTTCCTTCAGTCTGGAAATAAGAAAGCTGGGAGCCCTTCTGAATCATGTTTCTAACCTCTCTCAACCTACACTGGCCTCTAGGAACACATTAAAAGAAAAACAGATTGCTCAGTCTATCCATTACTGGAAGTAAGCAAACAAACTTTCAAGAATAAAAGAGCACATAAACAACAAATCAGTAATATTGGAAAAATCAAAGAGGAGCCAAAGCAGATTCTCAATTTAAGGAAGCTATGAAAGCTTTTTCTTACATTCTTGATCTGTTGAAACAGAAATAATTGAGGCCTCCTCCTTTAAACTGAAAAGCCTCATCATTCCCCAAAAACTTTGAGACAGCCACAGTCTCAAAACTCACATCCACAGAAAGCTATATTTTGACAGACACTGATGGCAGGAGCAAAGATGACACGTTCTTCATACGCAGACAAAAAAAGGATGTCTTTTTAATTTTAAGTCCACAATGTATTTATTTCTTCCCGCTGCCTTTCTAACTTCCTCCCACTAAGCAAAGTTGTGTCATCAGGCAAAAAGAAAATATTCACACCAGTTAAGACTTTCAGTTGTGAAAGAATTGTGATACAGTGATAGTCCTTCTGATAAAAATAGAAAGCATGACACTTTGAAGTGAAATCTATTGAGAAAGAGAGCTAAAAAATATTCTAAATGCTATGAACCCAAAACACTGGGACACAAGTAGGTAACTGGTACAAGTTTTATCTCTTGAGAATTACCTGAACTGCATTATTAAGTTCTGCAATACTTCTCTCCACCCATCCATCCATATACACACACACACACACTCATATAGTTACTTACAAAGTGTTGTTTTTATTCCTGTATCTATTCGTTAATCAAATTTAAAATCAATGCAAACCTTTCAAGCAATTATTAAAATCCTGAATTTCAACAATGTTAAATGCCTTCTCCCAGCTTCAGCAAGTTCAGCTTCTAGAGAAATAAGACAAGCACTTCTCAGACTAAGAAAAGCATCCCCATGGGACCGGGCAGGAGAAAAGCAGCTTGAAAACCACTGGAATGAGCCATTGGTCTATAGTTGTCATTTACTAGTATGTATTCTTTAGTAAAAAAGGGGCATCTCTGATTCTTCATTGAGGCAGGTTTAAACATAATTAGGCCTTGTCATGTATGCACAACTTTGTACTATAAGGTTTTGCATCCCTCAAACAAAAAAAGAAAAAAGTAAATAAAAAGGGGGAAAGAGGCTTCACATAGCAATCTTAGACTAATTCATGGTGCATATTTTGAACAAAATTACAACACATACTAAATAGCTTAATTACCACCTCAAGTGATTACAGACACCCATGAAGGCAAAAAGCCCAGAGTAGAACTGCTAAGCCTTTTGTTTCCGAACCACTGTACACATTCCATTATAACTGGTTTTGATATAAGCTCTTCTTCAAATATATACATGTATCCCAGAGACACTGGAAAGAGTGGACATCCCATTATAATCTCCCTCACATCTTCACACACATCCCACGTGGCAGACCCAGGGCCAGGAAGAGACAAAAGGCCTCCATCCTCATACCTGCTAATTCCCAAATCTGCCTGTACACTAACTCTTGTGCTGCTGAGTAAACTGTGAACGTTTTAAAACCTTCTGTGGACAGGGCAGGGTGGGAGAAAAAAAAATAAAGCAGAACTTTATTCTAGCATCAGCTGACACAAGACAAAATTGACATGCTGAGCTGAACTAACTGAAAACTTTTTTAGAGTTATGATCATAAGTAGTTTAGCTGTCTTTTTGGTGAGTTCAACAGAATGCACACTGAGAATGTTTACTTGAGATTTGATACAATACCATTTGTGTACAGCTTTTACATCTGTTGCTACTGATATCAAATTATTGATTGTTCACTTTCTTATATTATTTAAACATTAGCTATGCACTCAGCAACCTGATTCTTTTCTTTTTTTCTTTTTTTCCAGAGAACTTTTTATTTTCTGTCTGTCTTTGGTTGTAATTACTTTGATCTTCCAGAGAGTATAATTAATTTACTGTTTATTTATTTCTATGAGAAAGGAAAAAAGTTTGACCTAGTAGATCTATATGTGGCAATTTGTAACAGAATCACATAGCTTATGTTTAGGAAATCATGGTTTTGATTAAGAAGCAACCATTTAGTTCCCACTGTTTTATTAAAACAGACATTAGCAGATAATAGGAAACACATTTAACACTGGGCTGCATTTAGTTTGCAACGTCAATAAAGTTATTTTGAAGCCCCTTCTTATTTTGCATTTACCACAGCTCATGTGAATTGTTTTTTGCTTTTACTTTCTAGTAACCAGCTCTAGAGTTACACAAGGATACGGGTGCTGGTTCCAAGAACTCTAAATCATAATTTTACCTAATCTATCCAGTTACAGCCCAAAAAACAAATCACTGCATCATCCATTCACCTTCATGGAAGTCCTTTTTAAAATATTATTAAAGGAGCACTCGATGACTGATGCATGTAACTTGAGTCACTGATTCTGCACATTAACTGAGCTGTCCTGCAGGACTATCTGGCTATAGAAAATAAACAAAACAACACTAAATGAGAGATGATGAGAAATAGAAACTACCTAAAGTGCAGAAGTCTTTCTGTTTGCAAGCAGTTAAGATTACTGCTCTGAAGTTGCTGTTTATTCTCCATGCACCACTGTACCTGCCACAGACTCTTTGTTTTCTCTCCCACTCATGGTTGATGAATCAACACTACTTGAACTGCTTTATAGCAGCTTGTGTTTACTTCACACATACCTTAACCTTCCTTTTTCTCCTCCTACCAACACACACATAAACTTCCAAGCAGCAACGACTGGCTGTGTCTCTGAATAGCACAGATACAGAGTTATCTGGCAAACTCTTCGGGTTTGGATCCTTGACCTTTTGATTGAGGTTTCATTCTGCTTTTACTGCACTTAAAAATTTAACTGTGCACTTACTAAGTAAAGAAAAATTAAGAGCATAAGCTCTAAGAGTGGAAGAAAGTAGAAGACAACAGTGTACTAGAAATACTCAGAAGCTGTAGTAGTGTCTCTACAGTTAAGAACACTACAGTTAAGGGCTTCCAGTGCCTCTGCAACTGGCACCCTTGCCCAGTTTTGAAAAAAGAAAAATTAAAAAAAAAAAAGCCTATTTCTGTTCTCCCAGAACATCAAGTAAAAGCGAATGGTGATGACCTTGAAGCTGTTTGATTCTTTTGATTGCTTTTTAACCAAGAGGATATGTTAAAGCACTTTGAATAAAATTCTGTTATTAAGAGACACCATTTAGAGAAAAGAAACACTTCTGGAGTCACACAATGGCAATTTACAGAGAAAATAAAATATCCAGTTTATCTGGCATGAGGGTAGCCACATACTAAAATGTCCAATCAACATTTTTACTTCTAGCCTAAACCATCTTAGTAGGTGAAAAGCAACATCACCATTTCCTTGCCTGCACTGTTACCCCAATCCTGACAGGACAATTTTCCTTCTAGATACAAATAATTTCACCACAGAACATTCTTTCTTTTTTCCCCTACTGAAAATTAATCATTGCAGAGCCCAGGCATGAGTGTCTTACAGGTATGCTCTGCACAAGCCAGATGTGCAAAGAAAAACCAGATGCCTCAGAACTTGTTCTGATGTTTCATGTAATTTTGTTTCATGTGTTCCTAGCTCAAGCAGCACACTTTTTATGGTATTATTATGCAGATTTCTAGTCTGTCCTAAGGAAAAAAAACAAGCAACCTTTCCTGGCTTATGCTTCCCAGCCCTTTAGGAGGAAAGACAGCACACTCTTTTTGAAAGGTGGTAATCCTCACACAACTGAAAATACAATGGCTTCTCAGGAAGGATATGACATTACCCTATTTCTTCATAATGTTTGTGAATTCTGTTATGATTTTCCTGGCTACTGGAAGGATCACAGACAGAAATGATAGTCTGTGCCTTCTTTCAGGCAATGAATCTTCTGTTCAGTGGTGTAAGAGAGAGAAAAACTATGGAAAAACCCTACCCCAGCATACAGCTAATCTCCAAGGGTGATGGAGATTTGGGGAGAGAGGTCCCAGGTGGAATTATGAAAAAGCTTTTGACTATCCTCTAAGTCCAGAGCATTTAAAGCACACGAGTGTTAAAAAAAACCCAAAAATAAAATCCTACTAAAACAAACAGTCCAGTGCACACTTAAGTCCCCTGCCAAAGGAAAGAAATAATAATAGAACAAACCACACACGATGGATGCTTGTCACATCATTTTGTGCACCACTGACAGGTGATCAGACAGTTCAGTGGTGAGAATGGGATGAATTCAGAATAATTTTACTGCCTCAGTCACTACAGACCTACTAATACAATTTCATTATAGAAAAAAATACATACAATGGGCTATTTTTCTCATCACTTCAGTGGGTGCAGCACCTTGTTATTTATAAGTGTCTCCCAACAATCAGTATTAAATCCTCCATATCCAGATTCCACAGAACAAAATACAGCAGGAATGCCAGTACACTTTGCAGTATTGAGAAGAGAGTACAAGGGCACATATAACTTGAAAAGTCAGGTTTTTAGCTTTCAGAAACAAAACAAAACTAGAGCAACTCACATAGTAATTTAACTTTTAAATCCTGAGATACTAGAATGCTTTCTTTCCAAAATGTTTTTGCTTAATTCAAAACACAGCTGATCTTTCAGCACAGCGAAATGGGATATTTTAAGCATGTTTTGTGTCCTGTGTTTTCATGCCAGCCTTGTTTGTAAAGTATCAGATTTAATTTCAAATGTGCTGTGACTGTGTCCTCTTTGTAGACAAATTCACAAATATTATTATTGCTTATTATTACTTTTATTTAAATCAAATAATCTCAAACTGTCAGCAGAATTTCAAGAACTTGGAAAGCAACAAAAAAACCGCAATTTACCTTTAATCTTCTTGTACTTTTTGTACCATCTCCCAAACTCCTGGCACTTGGTTGCTGACACATTGGCATAGTATGTACTATTTACAATGGATGAAATCATACTCTGGAAGTATAGAAAGAAAAACAAAACGTGATTTAAAACATCTTCCATGATTAGGAATCTTTTCCAGGGAAAGCAAATGACACACAAGTGCATAATGATCATCCATGTGTGACTTTTAGCCCAAAAGAATCATCTGATGAGTACAAAATACTGGTTTTATTCTCTAGTCTATATGTCCAGCCATGAATAAAATCACAATAATAGTTACTTTGCACAATTATGTATAAAAATGTAGTACAAACCTACACTGAGAGCTGCAGCTCAGGCTGGGGGGGGAGGCTGTACTTTGCTTTGTACTTGTGATGCTGCAATAGCAAACTTCAGTTGCATAACAACAGGCAGTGCTGTGCCGAGGAACACACGCTCACTGCACCAAGCACAATTTAGGAACCAGGTCCTAAAGGTAAGATTAGATGCTCCAGCATGCATAATCCAAATAATGCTTTTCAGATGTCTCTGTTCTGCTTCCAAATGCAGCAAGACCGCACAGCCAAGAACTGGAGAACATCCGTGCTACTTGGTGCGGAACAACAGTTAGGCAAATAAGTTAAATTAATATAATTTACAGAAACGTGTGATTAGCCCTTGTGTGAAGAATCACCCAGAAGAGAAATTAGCAGCACCATTCAGAGCACAGGGAACTACACATACTACAGCATAGAGCAGTCAAAACCCACAAGAAAGCTCAACAAAACTGAAATATCACTTGCCTAACCAGCACCCCTCCCTACTCTGCAAATTCCCCCTAAGCAACTCCATACAAGCTGAATGAAGAGATGGCTGCAGACTGGTTTTCCAGCACCTGATACCAATAAACAGGATATTTTATATCTGGGGTGCTTCTGCCCATAGGGTGGCAAATAACCTCTTTACTGGTAGTTCTTCCATTCTATTTTTCCCTTGCCTTCCTCCATGCTATAGAGGAGGCATCCCTTTAACAACATTTTGCTGTCCTTTTCCCCTTTCTGAACTCTTCCAGGGTCAAACTGTTCTCAGCACGTGTACTGCGCTGTCACCCAGGAGATGCAATCTAACAACACCAACACATGGAAGTCAATGCACCTTCTCCACAGTATTTTATTTTCCTCATGCCCTCCTTCTGCACGTATGTCGAGCTCAGAGAAAGCTGGGGCACCCTGTGCAACCTTTCTGCACCAAGGGGAGAGAGCACGGATGATCTCACAGCTCAAACCATGGCTTCAAGCTCTGGCCTATGAGCTCCTGGACATCTCTGGAAAGCTACAAGGCTTATGCACTGGCTCAATGCATTTAACAATGCTTTAAAAACAAAATCATCCCTGCCCTCTGCCAGATTCACCCAGCCTCCTGTCCTGTTCACTGCAGTATCACAGGACTCTGTCCCTAACTCTTGAGTTTTAGGAACTTAAGAAAAGTGAGCAAAACCGAACAACTTAAGATAACTGGGTGATACAGATTACTTTCAGTCTTCAATAGCTAATTTCACTTTCACTGAAGAGGCCCTTCTGCCTTTTCACTCTGCCTTTTCCACTCAAAGAGTGCTATGGTGCACTGCAGTAGAGTTTGCAGGCTATGAAGTAAGGGCATTAAGTAGCAGCTCCAATTTCTAAAACTGAGATCCAATTTTCTAATTAAAATCAATATTTTGAGACATAAACCTAGCATTGTGGCAGTCAGCAGCAATTCCTTGCCCATAAATCTTCCCTTGCTCTACAGCATTTTAACAAGCAATAGAATTCTGAAAGCCTGACATGGCGACCGCCTTTGCTGAAGAGGGTTTTTGAACAAAGTTGAGCAAACCTGGGGGGTTTTTTTGCATCACTTCAGTTAAATTTCCATTCACTAAAGAAAGGTGGGGGAATTGTTGAGCCCCATCTACATATCAGTTTGGTTCTCTTAGTTTTATTTATTTTTTGGGGGGAGAAGGTTTCTTCTCCAAATCATCTAGGTCTACAAGAAATCAACACTACTGAAATCATGACAGTAAATATCAGAGAATATATTAACCCATTAACCTTTACTTGAGAAAGCAAAACTTAAATTAAATAAACAAAGTAAAATCAAACAATAAATCAACCATTGGTGAAAAAATCCCAGGACAGATTCTCTTCTGCAGGGGAAAGAACTGTAACAATTTTCAGACCAATATCCTCACTATTATATATAAAGAAACACTAGGGGTATTTCTCTTAGGAATCTTGATAAGTCTGGAGAAAGGAAATATCCATTTAAAAGAGAGTGGGAGAAAAAACCACTCACTAGTTGCAAACTTCTAAATAATGCATATTATTTCCGGAAAAATAATAAATAAAAGAATAAAGCAGCAGATATGTTTGGTATGTGTGTGGCCATGACAGCCATGTTCAATGAAAACTACTTAGACCAGGAGCTAAGAAATACCCACACAAAGAAAATCGGCCACAGTAAGTTCAAGGAGAAAAACATGGGACACACATGTACTAATAAAGCTTGCTTCAGCAAAGAGACAAAAATGCATGGTCAGTGCTGAAATGAGTGATACGACACAGGAAAGACAGATCTCTATGAAAAGACAGAAATACTCAAATAATTGGATTTCTTTCTGCCACACACACTCCCCCTACATCCCCTCCATCCCCCCAGCTTGGTTAACCGGGATTTATTTGTTTGAACAGGAGCCGTAGGCTAAGGGTAGCTAAGCTGCAGACATGTAATACACCTAGCAGAAAAAAACCAGAACAATTTGAAATCAAAGTGAATGATTACATTTCCCATTAGCAGCAATCAGAATCCCCATCTGGGCTGCCTGGAGAGCTCGGGCACTGAGAACCAGAGCCGGAGCACCGTCGCTGGTGGGAGCGGGAGCTCCCCACGCTGCCCCTCTCTCCTTCTGTACTTGAGGCACTGTGAACACATTAATAAACAGCAGCATTTACTCTGCAGTCTCACTCCTAAGAGACCACTCTGCAATTTGCTGCTGTCAATAATATATTAACCACAAGGGGGTTGTAATGACATTTCACATTTGGCACGATATTTTTTTAAAACTGATTTGGGAGAAGGAATTGTATTAGAGGCATATTCAGATGATGGTAATAGACAGCTTCTATACAACCTTCCATTGTATCTTCTGCATTTTGTGAGCTAAACCAAAAGAGACTGAAACTTTTTATGGCAATAATAATAATGACACAATTCTGCAGTCTCAGTTCAAGAGTTAGTCACTACCCAAGGTCATTTATATCTGTGCTTAATAGTAAGCAAGTTCAATTTCCTACAGAAAGATCTCCTCTTAGCTTTGTCTGCTAAATAAATACTGGGGTAAGGATTTTGGCTGCTACACTTCTGCCATCAGTAATTTTGTAAATATATCTCAGACTGAGCCTACAGGAGTAAACCAACTGCAGTGTTTCCACCTGGTAGGCTTTGAAACTGAAGTGGGAGGAAACAGACCCAGACAACAAATGAATTCTGCATATGAAACCATGCATAGTTTAGTTATGCTGGATATTGAAGAAGACTGGGCAGAGACAACCATATGCTGCAATCATCATTAGCTGACCAGATTCTACAGATAATTCTATTTTAAAAAATTACACTTAAATTGTGTGAAAAGGAAAACACTTTCGTATTCAATGCGTATGCGACACTGTGCATATCTACAGTGTCTGTTACTCCTTTATTAAATCAGCAAGTTCTGAGGCTTTTCCTTACAAAACCCTTCCAATTCCTGTTAGTTCTGCAGATCCCACATGGCTAAAGAAAGTGAAGAATGTGATTCCCACCAGCTCCATATTTTACCTCTGTGCTTTCCCTGGAGCTGTAATCATAACACAGCGAGGCAAATTTGTGGTGAACAGAGAGAATTCTCTTGGTTCACGGAGGCTTTGGATCATGAATTGCAGGATGAACATACAGTGCAGCGGAAGGCAGACAATCACAGGAGAAAAGATGATGGATATGAGCAGCAAAGCATTGGATTTTTAGGAAGCTGGAATTACCCATGTTTTGACTTTTAAAAGATACAATGGACAGATTAACCTGATTCTAGTACACATTTTAGAAGGCAGTATATTTTTCATGCCTAGCAAAGTTACCTGGTCTGGGTGCTAAAGTGTTATTCTGTTTTTTCTGAGAGGCAAGGAGAAGTAAGTCATAAAACTTTTATGAAAGTCTCATTATGACAATCTAAAGTACAAATAGAGCTCGTGACATCTGTAGGAACCTGTGTCTTAGACATGACATCACTGCTGTTTAAAAAGCAGTCATGGAGAATGAGGCTGAGTTTTTGTTCTTTTTTTAACATCATTACATATACATTTCTTTGTTGCTGTTTCCTAGAAATTGGGGCACAACTGTTAAAATTGCATACTTTTTATCATGGTTGCAGGCTGATGAGAGCTACCCATGGGTTAAGGGGGAAGGCAAGCCTCTGCTAGTGGGAAGCCATTAGAATCTTGTATTTGAGGAACATTAGATCTACTGCAATAGTTCAGATAAAAATCTAAATAATGGATTTACATCTCTATGAAAACCAATCAATTAACTCATAATTTTTACATGGCAACCCACTAAGAAAACATGGTGTAAAGATACCATTTAACATATTAATTAGTATTTCTCCTTTCTAAAGAAAACAAGAAATTTATTTGGTATTGATGGAATTGTTTAGCGTAGGCCCTTTACAGAACAAATATGAGCTTTGGGTCTTGCAAATCTTTCTTTCCCTAAGCCTGCTGAAAGCACTGACCTGTGAGAGAGGGCATTCTTTGGCTAATGTGCTCTGATTCATCTCTTTGAGCAGTTCCTTTAAGGCATTGCGAACTGTGGCATGGTTCCACTGCTCTGCTGGCAAATCTTCCAACTTTGAACAACTGTTAAAACAGAAAGCAAAAAGCAGATAGAAACATCACCTTCACAGACGCTTACTTTTTGTGTGCAAGTGCTATAGACCTTTAAGCAACAAGCACAACCCTGGAGTTTCCTGCTTGGCCAGTCCATCAAGGTGCTTCTCCCCTCTATCCCTCTCCCCCCAAGCACGATTACCAGAAGATGTGCAGTTCAACATGCAGCTGCTGATCCTTCTATGGCATATGTGCACATAACCATTCCTGCTGGGGCTTGATGGAGAGCAAAGAAACTGCATAAAGCGAGCCCCAGGAATGGCTGAGTAAAGCCATCCTCTACAGAAAAAGATACTCCCGCTGGGGTAGAAAAACAAACATATACGCTGCACTGCCACTATCAAAATCCCTGAACAGTGAGGGCCCTCATTGTGTGGAGGCAAGACTTTGAAAAATTAGTTTAATTTTATAAAGGTTCTTATAGTGCCTTTATCACTGAAGTATCCCAGAGCCTTTCAGAAACACATTAAGCCATATGCCAAACATCTGTCACGTGTAGTTCATTCTCACTTTCATTCCACAAGAACTGCGTAGGTAGCGAAGCTTTTGTCTTCATGTGACTTGTGCCTCTTTTAATTTAACAAGCTTATGGTTTGTATCTACATGCATGGGGACAGACCCAAGAAGCGCAGCAGAAAGGTGAGAGAAGCTTGTCACTGCCATTTCTGCTTCAGAGCCTTAATGCATGCTCTCCAATGGCCCCAAAAGGTGGTTCTGCCTTCTGTCCTTACAGCTGGGCTTTTGCCTCAGTGCTGAACTTTCAGTTGTGCTTGAGGAGTTCAAGTAGTCAGTGATCATCTTCATGTCAAAGTCATGGACTATCTTTTATTTATGTGACATCCAGGCATTCAGGCACTTTGAAGACAAAGAATGAGGTCTTAACCTTAGGTTCATACCCTTTGCTAATACAGATGTGACAACAGACTACATGAACACCTGGTAGTGCTATAGCAGCTATAGGGTCTAGACACTCTTTTACAACTACACAGCAGAGATGCAGCCCAGCTGAAAAATTTTAACAGTATACAAAACCAAGGAAAGACCTGTTCATGGAAATCAGGAAACCCAAGATCCATCAGAGATTCAACAAGAAAGAAATGTTGCTGTTTGCAGGTTTAATGCCAACGAGGCATCAACTAATTCCAAATTCTAAACTGCACTGAACAGTTGGAGGGCATGTACCTGTCACCAAAGGGCATGCACATATCCCTGTGGGCCCTTCTTCTGTTCGAGCCAAAGCTTCAAAGAATTGTCAGAAAGTTATTCCAGACTGTCTGTTAGTTTTTACTCTTTCCTCTGTCATGTTCTGGCCACACAGCTACAGGAGGCTGTGCAATGTAGGCTTATCTGCAGCTCTGGCATACGCCATGCACTGCCAGGGACCTTACATTTCAGGACTCTTTAGAAGGCCAAGACAGAGAAAGGCGAAGAAAAAAGGAAGGAGGAAAGGAGGGTAAATAAGTGTAAAAATGTTGGGAGCTTTTGCTTTGCTAACCAGAACTAGCCCTGAGGGAAGGAAAACATTTTCAAAAGGCCAAATGCAGCTGCAGTGACACTTTCCTTGCTTGTCTTCTGTTTGCTGGAAAGACCACTGAAGGAAAAAAAGGAAAGTAAAAAAAGCTCCCCTCCTCCACATCTCAGCAACTGGCTGAACAAGACCTGGATTTTCACAATGCAGCCCCTAGAAAAAGGCAAGGAGTTTATTATTTGATAAAATTAGAACTTAAGAATCCATTAAATCATGGACTGTAGAAAGGTCTGCCTCTAGAAGCCCCATATTTTTACTTGATTGGGTTTCTGCCCTTCCCCTCTCTGTTACCATATTGCTACTTCAGAAAACATACAGTATCAGTTGGAAGATGCACCAAAAAGCTGCCAGGTGACCCACCCATCTCTCCATTTTCTTTTCATCAAAAGCCCAGAAATTAATGAAGACAGGATGCGCTAATCTCTGTAGTAATGCTGTAACCAACAGAGCAGCTCAGAGAATAGGGAAGGACAGATGTTCAGAAACACCCACCTTTGTAATTGGATTTTCAATGTCACAACATGATAGACATCTTGTAGCATGTCAGCTACTGTCGCATCTGGTGCATCGGTCACATAACTGAGAGGGAGGGGATTCCACCTCCCAAGCTTGATTATTCCTGAAAAGAAAACAAAAAATCCATACTTTATATTTTATCAGCCATTTATGAAACCCTGCAGCAAGGCTGATTGTTCCCAAGATCTGCCTTGAGGTTTATTGCAGTCCTGCCCAGCTAGACATGTTCTACTGACTCCTGAGGAAACAGTGGAGAAGAGCAGGAACAGATTCAAACTTTTTAGGAGACAGTTGCTGACATGTTCATGACTCTTAAATTGCTGTAAGGAAACACAGGAGACTTCCTTCACATCTTTTATCATCGCTCTAAAGCCTCGGTCTTTAAGTTAGAATAAGCTTTAAGTACTTTCTAGTCCTGATTTTGCTGTCTACAAAAACTATTCAGTAAATAAATGCATTACTTTGACTTGAACAGGAAAATTCCTATGCGTGGGCTTTCAGCACTGTTACAGTCTAAGCACAGTACGATTCCCAGTGTGGATGGAAACCCACCAAGCAGGAAGAGCTCACTCCCAGATACAAGTTGCACTATGCAGACACGTTTTGGTTTTTTTTTCCTCACAAAGAAAATCAAGAACCAAACAACTGCAAGCTGCTGACCACAGATCCAAAATAGCTTTTTGGAGGCGGGGGAGAATGCTGTATGTTCTATTTCTACTTCTGTTCATTTTTTCATCGGGATCATCACCTCTTCTGGATGAGCTTGTCACAAAGACTGCAAACTTGGATGGTAAACCATTTGGTGCAGAGGTATTATTTCTGTTGAGACAATTACAGAGGGCCCACCCACACCAAAAACAATGACTAATCCCAGGAATGACTTCCAGGAAGACACCAAACAAAGAAAGCCACAGTGCCATCTTACCATGGCAGCAAAGCAGTTCAGTCTTGTTCTGCACTATTGCCACTACGGCTTTTATTCCCTCCTTCATTTTATTCCCATTGCCCCACTGTTCTGCTCACTTAACTCTCCTCAGCTCAGCCCTATAAGACACCATTCTCCCATTCAAACTGATGCCTTCTGAGGTTTCTTTATATACTGTGTGATCTTTGAAAAGACATCCATAAACTCAACTGCCAGAAAAAAAGTAGTACACTAATACACAAGAAGACTACTTCTTCTGAGATAACAGGCACGCCAAGAACTCCTCTTGGGTATCTGGAAGGATGTTGTGGTGCCAAGAAACTTCAACTGTCTCCTCCTCACTTTCTACTCCCAGCTCTTCACCAGCTCTGGAACTAATTGAACTGCAGTAAATTACAAAAACCTCTTATCCTGATTTCCCAAAAATGATCATAAGATAAACACCACACTGAAACAGTGAAACAAAGCTTCTAACAGAGACAATAACAGAATACAAGGAGCCCATGAAGTACCTGCTATGGAGTATTTTCCCCCATTCCTACACAGATTGAAGAGGAAATAATTTTAGTACAACTCCTTTTCTGTAGCACTTAAATCTTTGCCTTTACCACCGACAAGCTTTGCAAGGCATTCTGTCAGCACACACTGAAAGAAGCTGGAAGTGACCTAGTTCATCCTCAGTGGCACAAAGTTTCACTGGAACATGCTGGTACAGACAGGCTAATACTTCAAGAGCAGTGAAGCTTAAGAAGCTTTTGGCAAAGAGATATAGTGTCCAAATGAAACAAAAAGTTACTAAGTGTTGCTTGATATCCAATGCTTGAAAATGGGACATAAACAGAACAAAAACATTTCAATGATGCACTGTTTCAGTATTAAGATTTAACAATCTGGTGCTGAATATGCTGCAGTATAAATAGTGCCTGGACTCAGATCCAGTAGAGTAACACACAGCACTCATTCACAGCACCGTATGTCTCCAGTGCTGGCTCCTTGAGTCATATTCCACTTGCCAAGAAAAGCTGTTTTTCTTAAGGGGATAGTTTACTTAATGTTATCTCTGGTGACAACAAGAAATGTATATAGTACAGCATATATTAGTCATGAAATGAGCATCAAGGGTCTACTGCGTAAAATACATGCTGGAAAAACACAGTTTAGCTGCTGACTTCCTTCACCTCCTCCTGCTATACAATAATTTAAAGCAAAATCACCTAAAAATCCAGAAATCTATACAGGCTTCACAGAACACTTGGCTTCTTATGTTTAACCCCGCCAAATTTTCATGTTATTGAAAAAATAAGCATCATATGTGCCCCATAAGTCACATCTAAATTGGTGATATTTTACAAGAGGCTTTATTTTTCATTCAATTAAGGAAAGCACTCAGAGAGCACACCATCTGCAACTGCTCAGGCCTGGTAATGCTGGCAAAGGACAAAGAGATGGTCGGGAAGCACTGAAGTTACTAAAGGTGTCCCCACACTAAAATGGTTTAAAAAAAAAAAAAACAAAAAACCCAGAGCAGCCAGAGTGCACATGGGAAATACTATGCAAATTGTTTTACAGGAATGTCTGCTACTACTGGAAGTTAGGGAGTTTTTTTTTTTTTCAATCCTCCTCTACAACTGGAGAGGAAATTGTTTTGGCTGGATTTAAACAAACACAGGTGTTACCATAATGCTCAGTGCCTCTGCACGTTAACACCTGCTCAGAGTCCTTTACTCTGTGTTACAGCGCTGCTGATGCACGCTATTTTTTCAGCCGGTGTGATGTGACGTGTGAAATATTTTTTTCCAGAGCACATTAAGCTGGTCCAAACGATAGCCAGAAGCCATGGTTTCCATTCAGCTCCTCAGCAGACTTCACAGGTGCGTATTTCATGGCACCAACACTGTACTTAAGACAACTCTTGGGCTATGTTTGGGAAGATGATGCCAGCTTGTTGAGCAAACGTGTTCTCTGCATACTGAGACATCTCTGAATGACTACTCAGTAAAAACTGAGCAGGCCAAAATTTTCCCCCTAAAATGGTCCCTTCTTATCCAGACTGGGTGTTTCTAGCATAACAGCAACGCTGACATGAAAACAGCCTGACAGCAAGGGGTCCACATACACATTTTTTATTGTTCCTCTCATTGACTTCAAATGGTACAGCTCAGGCCTTTAAAGAAATCACTTTTACTGGCCTGGCTAACCTTTTATCCTACCACAACTGACACGTGGGACGGGAGACAGGCGTGAGGAAAGGTCACTGTGTTACTAATGAACATAGTACTTCTCTGGGAGTATCACTTCCCTGTCAGCTTCAGACCTTCTCAAAATCATGTGTGGATAATGCACAGCAGATCAGAAAGCTCAGGGAACACAAAAATACATCTTCCTTGAGTTCCCAAAACTCTTCTGTTAGCAAATCTGGCTTTCTTTCCAATATCTATTGGGTCTTTTTTCCTGCGAAAGATTTTTGAAGGGCAAGCTAACAGATTTCAATGCTTGCACACACTCAAGAAATAGCCATACACTAGAACAGCTCTCAACTCACCAAGAAATTACTGAATGCAGCCCAGGCTAGTTAGCAATTGAAGACAATAAAGACATTGGTTTTCTCAAAAGATTTTTTTTCACAACTTATGTTAGAAGAGATTCTCTATCCACACAGGTTGTTGGTTCTTGAAGGGCATGTACTTCTACAGTCAGGTCTTTCATTAACTTTACGCCTCAGCTTCATCAAAATGCAGACAGGGAAAAAATACACAGTAGCTTTGTGTAAAATGGGTGCAACTCCCTTTACCCACAAGAATGGCAGAACACACCAGGGCCAAACTTGTGTGAGCTCAAGTGTCAGGTTTGTACATAACAACACTGAATTCACTGCTGTCACTCCACTCAGGCCAATGATGTGCCACCCTGCCAGCATGTTTCGAACTGAATTTCATTCAAAAAGCAGCTCTTTTGGAGAAGGAAAGTGATAACTACACAGGTGAGAGCAGAACACTACACTTAACAGAAGACTTGCCCTGCTATATCACAGCTGACCCATTCTATATCCAGCAGAACTCATCACAGGATCCTCATGAGCTTAATTTTTATCACCTAAAAAAATGATGCACCTAAAGCACTGGGATTATTCCTAGGATATCACCCCACTGATATGTGAACTGAATGGATGCAAGGCTGGGGCTAAAGCAGACTTGCAGAATAACTACTTTGATCAAGAGTATAAAATGACAAAAAGCAGAAAGCTGCTTTCTAGAAAAACACAGCTAAGCTGGCAAACCCTTTCCATTATGTAATTCACACGAAAATTTCAAGTCCCATGAAAATTATTTATCTATATAGGCTAGAAACCTCATTTGTCATTGCAAATGGAAAGACAGCCACACAGCACACTCATTCTAAGAATACCACATCTGAGCTTTAGAACATATGTATCATGGTCTAGCTATGACTATGGAATAGGTCCTAAATGGAATGAAGAGCAGATGCTGCATCTCCCACTCACCTGCACAGGTAACCTTCCATCTGGATAGCCCCATAACAATTACTGGAGCACTTCAGGCACCTTCCAACACATCACTGCTGTAAAATTAAACTCTTCAAATGGGGCATTTTCCAAATTCCTTTTTGTGGCTAAACAGAGGAAACAGGACTAGAACATGCTTCACCCTGTCACTGGCTCTCTTCAAACCATCCCCTGCTCCAACCACGGCCATACTCTTGATTTCACTTTCACAAATTCTGAGCATATCTGAATTACATCTTAAATGGATATTAGTAGTATTAATGCAAATGCGTATGCAGAATTAATGTAACTTATTTTAAATGCTAATCTGCCAGGGTTAAAAGTTAGTCATGAGTCCTAGAATTTGTTTTCTTGCATCTCAGGGATCTCAGGACCACAGCCTGAGAGTTGTGGACTGCAAACACAAGGCTGGTTGAAGAACGCAACCAACATCTGCTGCTGCCTTGTGAATTCAATCAAGTAGTTTTGATCAAACATTGTGCTTTTTAACAGCAGCTCTTACCAAAACAACAGACACACAGGAGAAACTGCAGGTTGGCATTAACACCCAAGCATTTCTGATTTCTTTTACAGCTTCAAATGAATGACCTCAAAGAGATACCCAATAAAAGCCCCACTTCTGGGAGCACCAAGCCATTTCTCTATCACCCACTAC